CATCAGCCTCGTTTATTTCTAAACTATAACTGATGGAAATGACCACGACAGTCGGGTCTACGTAACCGGAACGACCCAGATTTATATCTGGCCAAGGACTGTCACTCCAGCAACACTCCCCAAAAAGTCTTTGGGGAGTTTGTATGCTGTTACAACAACAACAACAACCAAATTGCCCAACTAAGTTACAATTCGGCGTTTGAAAATGGTTGCGCTTATTGCACTTTTCCATTAGTTATATTTAGTTTAGAAATAAAAGAGGCTAATGCTTTGCAATATACCAACCTGGAACTCAGCCAAACTATGTTAAATTGGGAAACTTTAGTCTTCTTACCTTCAAGGTTCTGATGGCTTAAGTCTCCTGCTGATGTTTGGCTATCTATGGATATATAAAATATACATATATGTATTTAATAAAAGAAAAATTACATTTAATCAAATTAAATCGCTTCTTAAGCTGATGCCACATAAAACTTTTGCTTCGCTTTACGTGACAGATTCGCTTTGACAGATAAGATGAATTGTATGAAAATGCACAAAGCATGCCACATAAATCGTTGAAGCTGCAGCGCGAAGCGAAAAGATGGCCAACTCCCATCTTTTTGCGCGCTTTGACAATCAGCCGGTTTAATATTTATTTTGTTTCGTCCAAATTCGGGTTTTCATGCAGAAACATAAAACTTAATTACATTGCTGATAATTTTAAAGCAAAATATATAAAATCCACAGCAACTTTTACGAGTAAAACAGCGGTACAAAATTGCTTTCTTGGCGTTCATTGTGGCATACCTTTTGCGTCTGGCGCTTTGCTGGCGAAGTTATAAATGTCACGCAAAGCTACAAAGTTTTATCTGGCATCAGCTTTACCTCCTAAATTTTGCGCGAAATTGATGTTTTTCTTCAAATTTGAAATTCGCTGTCAAATTTCGCCTGATTTTCACTTGCTCGCTCTAACGCATATACTTCTTATTAAGAGTGCGAATTCTTATAGCTACGCTGCTCTTACTTAAGCTGAAATTAGTCAAGAACGTAAACCTACCGGTACGTAAACCCGAGTCAGCTGACACGATCTGTCTTACCAAAGCGCCATGTAAATGAAAACTCAACACCGCAGAATTTTTCTGTAGTTGTAGCCCGTAGCGCAGAAATCTGCGGAATTTAGATTTTTCCGTGTCAGCTGATTTCTCCTTCTTTAGATGGTTGCCACTTCGTCAGTTTTACAGATGGTAAAAAAGATATAAGTTCCTACTCAAAATATGTTTAAAATATTTGAAATTTACTATTGAATAAGGTTTTTGTTGAAAACTAAGTAGTTTATATTTAGCTAAAATCTATTATAGCACGAAAAATTGTGGTTGAAAGGGTAAGTTTATAAAAAGGCATTGATGAGTGGCAACAGTGTAGTAAGCAACACTGAGGGCTCCAGTAATCGACAAAATTCTGCGTATACAGACTGCGTTCTGCGTTCTCGACTAATTTCAGCTTTATGGAAACTTTTTTCGACAACTTTTGAGTGTGTGGGTGAGATGACAAAAAAGTTGGGTATTTTTGGTAAATCATTTGAATTTCAGGGGAAAGTGGGGAGCCGTGGCTGGCAGGGGGTGCTGTCAATTGAAATATCCTCAATTAAATAGAAAAAAAACCCCACAGAGTTGATCACTAATGGAGCCGGATATCTATCAGTTTCATATGGATGTTGAATTCGTGCAACTTTTCTTTTTCCAAATAATGTAAAATAATAAATGAAATCTCGATCGGCGATCACTGAAACGCAGCTAGCAACTGCATACGCGAAAAAGCAATGTTGCCACATTTTCTCATTAAACCATGTTCGAATCGTGGAAATTTTGGAAGAGCACAGGGTTGCTTTTAACATTTAGATTCTTAATGCAAAAATGGAGTTGCATTTAGTTGCATTTAGGTGAGGAATTTTGTATGGATAAATGTACATTTATAGTAGCATTTAGAGCCAAATGCGCTAAATGTGCTTTTACGCGTAAGCAAAAACAGCCCATAAGATACATTTTTGTAGTCTTGTTATCGCCGTTCATAATGCTGCTTAGTATTTTGGAATAAACGTCTTGTTGCATGTACATAATACCCTAAAACGACATATGTTTTTATTGGAAACAATTGTACACGGTTTTAAACATTTTTGTGAACACACTTACCAGACGGGTTTGACGTGTTTTTATTTCTAATATTACTGCTAAAAGGTCTAATAAATGCATGGATTTCAGTTCCAGAAGAATTGAAATCATCAAAGGCAAATATTTTCTATATAATTGCTGCATTTTATAAATAGCAAACTAGATAGTCTTCTTGTGCATCAAAGCAACTGTCAAAAATTTCCAGCAGTAAAAAGTTACGAATTGGCACAGCAGAAATGTAAAATTTTCTCACCATTGTAAAAAGTTTTTCCACCATAGATCTTTTCTATCAATTGGCACAGGCCCAAATTAATATTGCTGCCCCGAACGCTCTGCGCCTTGCCAGTGAATAACACATTTACTTAAAATTACATCCCTGGTCCTTGTTCTTTCTGTATCGCATCGTGGTAAATTCACATTTCTCAGAAATTAGACAACAAAACAAAACAAAGCGAGTATTTCATTTGCTGATTTTCGCGATTTCTATTGTTTAATGTAAATTTATGTCTTTTTACAGGCCAACCTAATATTCACGCACGCCGGCAGTTTACTGTCAAAAATTTCTCATGCATATACATCTTGTATGGGACCAACCGAAATTGACCGGCGCGCGTAAAAAGCTAACTCAAATTCCAAGATTTGTGTTGCGTGACATTTCGATTTAACGTCTGTGCTCTATGACATTTTGGCGCGACAATGAATTAAAATTTTGGAAAAAATGCAGAATAGCTTCGCTTCTCAAATTAAAAAACACATATGGGGATCGATAGAGATCATTGAGGTGAGTATAACGGTATATTTCTTTTCTTGTGGAAATAACGACTACAATAGTTATTAAGACTTAAAGTTCAAATTAAACAATTCTTTAAATCCAAATTTTTTGAAAACGAATGCATGGATTCTAAAAATGTTGATCTCATTTGATAGGAAATTTGATTCCCTTTAATTTGGTATAAATATAACCCCTAAGTAGAATTTTCGTTTCTGTGTTGCCGCAGAAGGGATGCGGAATTCCTTTCTGCGTACATTAATTAGATTTTTGTGAAAACTAAACAAGGCATATATAAAGTATGTATATCAAATTAAAGGGAACTAAATTTCCTATCGATTGAGGTCAAAACTTTTAAAATCCATATATTACTTTTTAAGAATTTTTTATTAAAAAAATAGTTTAATTTGAACTTTGACCCTTAATAACTTTTGTAGTTTTTGTTTCCGCAAGAAAAGAAATATACCGTTATACTCACCTCGCTATCGATCCCCGTACGTTTTTTTTTTTAATTTGGGAATCGAAGCTATTCTGCATTTATGCTGAAATTTTGCTCAACTTCTGAAATTGGACAGAAATGCAACTCTGAAAAATCACGTACGCAAATTTATTTCGGTTACTCAAATGTGAAGAACTTGCGTGCGTGCGTAGAAAAATTCACGCCGGTAATATTAGGTTGGCCTGTAGGATATGTTGAGCCAGAAAGAAGACGCAGTTGGAAAATGGAGTAATTAGTAATGAAGTAGCAGGCATAGTTTGAAAATTATGCCGATAAGCAGGATGGAATTTGGAAAAGTAAGTGCCTGGTTGCAGCATATCTTTGTATTAAAAAGTATTTAATTAAATTGTTTATAGAAATGTTATAAATCGAGTGGCTCATTTACGATGTGCTCCAAACATTTGGCGAACTTTTTTTCGCCTTTTCAACGTGCTAAGTAACAAGTTAAGATGACTGCCATCACGGCCGGTAAGAAACCGCAAGCAAAGGGCAGACAACCTTCCAGGAAGCTGCCTCCTGTCCCCGAGTCGAAGCTGCAGTTCAGCAAGAGCAGGTCAGCAAATTGCTACCCTGATCAAACGTAAACTAAAGCGCTCTGCTGTGATTGCACTCCGTAAACGTGAAAACTTGGTGCATGCTGAGAAATATCAAACAAGAAAACTCCGTGATGGACGCCGTGAGATAGAGTTGTGCTGTGTGGCAAAGAAATGCGGCCAATTCTACGGGCCTAAAAAATACAAATTGGCTTTTGTGATCCGTATCCGCGGTATCAACAAGGTTGCACAAAAAGTGCGTAAAGTTTTACAGCATGATTCAATAATACAAGGTTGGATAAATATTGACATTTGTGTCAATCGACTGCCTTGTAAGGTTGCATTTGAGAAGGAAAGAGAAGCGGTTAAAAATTTTATCTCCTTTTGTGAAAAGGTAGTAGGAAAAGTAAGTAGTCTGGTGGTGCTGAAATGCGTTTTTGTATACAAATTAAATTAAATATATAAAAAAGATTCCACTGATCTACACAATAGACGATAAATTAACTTTTTATGGCCACATAAATATTAAAAATGAAATAAATGGATATTAACATAAAATACTTCCCAAAGAAAAATCTTTGAAATCTTTGAAGAATGTTCCCAAATATTCAAAATAAACCATGGTTTCATTGAAATTCCAGTATATATATACTAATATATATTAAACAAAATTAATGGAATTCAAACAAATCCTTTATTCAAAGGGACTATATGAAGAATTATACAAATAGTAAAGATGCAATTGATTTACTGCATATAAATTAATCTTTTAAAAATTATTATATTTGTTGCATTTAAAGATAACATGTTCAATATCTTAAATTGAATTACATTTGGTTTTTTTTTATTTAAATTTTTTAGTAATGTTTTCTACTTTTTCCTCCAATCAGTCTTACTAATCATTATATTGGTTACATTTAAAAGTTATATCTTCAATATCGCAATTTAATTACATTTGGAATTTTTAATTTTTAATTTTTGCGGAATGTTTTTTACTTTTTTCTCCAATCCGTCTTGTTAATCATTATATCGGTTAAACTTTAAAAATATGTCTTCAATATCGCAATTTAATTACATTTCGTTTTTTAAAAATGTTAATTTTTTGTAGTGTTGTGTACTTTTTTCTGCAATCAGTCCCAATGAGCACAAGAAAATATCTTTATTAATATTTCCACTTTCACTTTTATGGAGTGGTATACTTACTTGTAAAGCCCAAAATACAATAACGCAGTGGCAGTGGCAGCGGCAGTTTTTCGAAATCAGCTGTTTTTTAGAAAGTGTGGTGTCCAATGAAGCGACTCACAATACAGCAGTGGCAGCTAGCAGTACTGCTCAGTTTAGCCCAAATTCTAAATTCACTGCCACTGCCTTCATCGCAGCAAACTTCGCATGCTGAATTTGACATAAATGAAACGCAGCCAACATCTGTTGATGTCACTGAAGCCTAAAAGGCAACAACAAAAATGTAAACAAACAAAAGGGAATGTCAAAAAAAGCAGTCACTGACAACGCCGTATTGTGTTTGCTGCGGCATTGACTGCCAATATTAGCAGTAACAGCTGATTTTAAAAACTGTCACTGCCACTGCCACTGCGCTATTGTGTTTTGGCCTTAAATATGCAAAGGCTGCTCTTGACCAACCAAAACGCTGCAGTGGTAAAAATACATGCACCAGCAAACGTGGACGGACACCCAAGTGATCCTGACCTTCACAAGAGAATATATTTATTAATATTTGTATTTTCTGCACCAGCCATACGTGGACGGACACACAGGGATCCTAGCCGGCAAAACTTACTTGCAACGGCTGCACTTGTTGTAAAACGCTACTTTTTGAATACAAATTATGAATAACTCCTATACCCTACAAATAAATATGTAAATTATTGTTGTAATTCAAAATATTTCCATTATTTTTGATTTTTTTGCCATACTTACTTGAATTTGCCCAATAAGAAAATGAATTTCCACGAAACAATCGATGAACTGTTGAACTTTTATACGAAGACAATATTTCTCCTTGTATTTTAGTAGTAGTTTCTACAAATCAAAAAAGAAGGCAACACAGGCTAAGGCAGAATGCGGGAGCGAGACAACCGCCAGGTTACCCAACCTTGTATTATTGAATCATGGTTTTACACAAAATGTATTCAGCAAAGTGTGATTGATTTTGACATTGCTCTCATAAGAAACAGGCTATAATGTCAAATTGAAATGAATTGTTAACCCATTTGAAAATATTTTTTTTTTAAATTTGAATTTGTTTAAAAAAAATTTACACAAACATTTTTCAAGCAACAAATATTCTTAATAAGCGTGAAATTGTTAAGAGATAAACCGCCGAGGAGAGCAAGTAAGCACATTAAAAGTTTGGTAGTAAGTAAATATGTACGTTCGACTTTTCTTAAACATTTAATGTAAGGAAACCAAGATGAAACGGAGCAAAACTTTTGAACGGTTCGCTGTATGCAATAGAAGTAAGGACACGAAAATAGAGCGATGTTTTAAACCACCTAGTTGCGAGTTAAGACGGCAGCGATGTAGTGTTGTACTACGTGATTCATCTCGCGTTTATGAAAACCACTTCAAGGAAAGTGATTTCATTTGTTGTCCGTCCGAGTCAAGCACTTTCAAACGAGCTCGTTTATACACAAACTATTTTGCATAAAAAAATTTAATTTCAAAGTTGTTAGAGTTAAGCTCTCATATTAAATTGGAAACAAATTAAAAATCATACTTCTATAAGTGTCGAATAATGTTTAGGATAAAAAATTTAAATATAAAAATAAACGCACAAAAGCATAAAACTTGGGCAATTAAAAACAAGAAGATTGCTAAAACGATTTTATAAACAATTTGTTTTATGTTATTGACAAAATATATATATTCCAGGTAATGTAAGTAAAACAAAACTATAATTCAAAATAAAAGCCTTGGTATCAGTGCTGACAAGATACATGCATCACTAAGGGTTAATTCGTTTGTTTATACTTTTTGACATTATAGTACCTTAAAAGAGAGCCGCACTGAGTTGTCAATCACACCTTGTTTAATACACCTTGGTTTTACAGTTCCGTCTTCGCCACATTAAAACGTTGTGTTCATCAAATTGAGCAAGGCAACCATTAATATGCTACGTATGCCGAACCCTATATGGGGTTTAAATCAGTTCGTGAATTGATGTACAAACGTGGAATTGTCAAGCACAACCATCAACGTGTCCCAATCTCTGCTTTGTGATCGAACGCAAATTTCGCGAAGCGCACGAAATTCAGTGCGTTGATTATTTTATGCACGAAATATTCACTGTTGGAACCCACTTCAAGAAAGCCTCCAACTTCCTTTTGCTATTCAAGCTCAACACATCAACCCGAGGCTGGCGCTTGAAGGCTAATCACTACGTTGAGGTTGGTGATTTCGGTAGCCGTGAGGATAAGATCAACAAATTGCTGCACAAGATGGCTTATAGAAATTGTTGTTTTGTATTTAAAGCTCGGAACACTTTGACGACTGCAACTTCACGACGTAACGACAGCAACATCATTTTGTCGACAAATGTCGCCTTGAAGCCAGCTTCTTAAACATTTTGAAGACCTCAGCGACATAGCAAACAGCTGATTTTAAAGTTTGACATTTTGGTATATTTATTTCACAAATTGTGTATTTTTATTTAAGTAAATAAGAAAAACATGAACAATCAAGAATATGTGATTAATTTTGCGACAATTTAATTTTGCAGCAC